TGGGATCCGAACCCTCGGACGGGAGCGCCGCCGCGCTTCCCAAGCGGCGCACTATCCAGTGCGCCACCGGGCCGGCCTCCATGAATGTTTTAACAACTTGGGTCCTTTGCAGGTACACTTTGAGGACTGGGAAGGGTCAGGAGAGGGTTAAAGGAAGTTACCACTAGGATCTTGGGTGATCAGCCTGAATATCCATGTGAAACCTGGGACTGGGCATCAAATACTCATCCTAGAATCCAAACTGGCACTTATGAATGTGCAGCTCTCAGTTCAAACACTGCCTGCTATGTGCCTCCAAATACGGTTAAGGATCATGCCTTATGCATCTAAGAGGCCAAAAGAGGTGTTAAGCTTCTAGCTTCTCCAATTCTAGGGTACTAATTGTCTGCCTAAGACTTTCTATGGGGTGGGTGGTGGGTCCAACTATCACAGACAAACCTTTCAGAAAATTATCCTCTGACTGGTAGAGGAAAGTATTCTAGAAACACAGTATTTTGGAGTAAGTAATTCTGTTTCCATATTCTGGCACTTAATTTCAGTTTAGCATAAAATGGAAAAACATTCAAATACACCAAGGCAACAGATATCTAATGTCTGTGCCCAAGTGGTGCTTACTTCTGGCTTTGGGCTATTTTTCCTGATGTCTCCATTTCATACATGGTCTGCAGTCGGCACTTCACAAGCTCCGTGGGGCAGAGCACCAGCGCAGCAAAGGCAGAGGCAAAGGAGCCGGCGGCCGCGTTCTGTAGGTCACTGAAAGCACACAGCACAGGCTGGTTATGTGCAGGCTTGCTCCTGCCCTCAGCACTCACCACGCACAAAGCACTTTGGTGGCAAAGCAGCGTGATGATGAAAGGAGGGAATGTGCATGGTTCTGTTTTGTCTGAGGATCCCACAGCCCTGTGAGGTAGACAGCAACACCCAGTTCCCATATGGGAAATGACACACAATGTGCCAAAAGTCACACAGCTACTAAGAAGCAGTGCTAGGACTCAAACCCAATCTGCCTTACTGCAACATCCATGCTCTTTGTAATTAAACACAGTGCTATGGACTGATGCTGTGCCCCCCCCCCCAAATTTATATGGTGAAGTCCTAACCCCGGGAGGTAATTAGGTTTAGATGGGACCATGAGGGTGTGGCCCTCATCATGGGATTAGCGTCCTTATAAGAAGAGACCAGAGAGCTTGCTCTCTGCCATGTGAGGACACAGCGGAAAGGCTGTCTGCAAATCAGGAAGCGGGCCCTCACCAGACACCAGGTCTGCTGGCACCTTGATCCTGGACTTCCCAGCCTCCAGAACTGTGAAAAATGTTTGTTATGTAAGCCACCCAGTCTATGGTATTTTGTTACAGCAGCCCAAGCTAAGACACAAAATGACAAAAATTATAGCCAAATAAACTTAAGATATGGGAAATAATTACCCATAGTCCCACCACCGAAAAACACGAACTATTAACACTTCAGTGTATTTGCCACTAAGTTTTAAATAAAACTAGGTTCTGAGACCATCCCTACATACCCAAAATCCAACCTGGAATAACCAGATGTGTAATATAACTTCCACAGATGAAAACCCAGGATACATTTTTACAAAAAGTTGCCGCACTGCAGAAAGGTTTCCCCATTCAGCTGATGATCTCCTCAGCCTCAGCAAAACCGAGGCAAAAGGCGGGTGTGATGGAGCCGTGGGAGCAGGGGAAGCAGTGCACGTCTGCAAGCTCAGTGGTTTTAGGTGAAGTGGCTAGGCTGGACATCTACCTAGACAGAGGGATGCATGCACACAACTATAGAAAAAGAAGCATTTGCCTCCTCTGAAACTGGAATCCACTAAGAGTTTGAGAATATGGACAAAAGGAAAATGAGCCAAGGCTCACCACACCTGCCCCCTTCAGCAGAGCCCTGCAGGTGGAGTGGCCGGTGACCTGAGCTGTGCCCACAGTGTGGCAGCCAGCAATGGAGATGGAGCAGGGCTGCCACCACGCCTTTACCACCTCAGTCCCTTGTGAAGCTCCAGGCCACTCGCTCAAGAACATGGCCCCGGAGCAGCTCTGCTTGGTCCCTGAAATGTTGTTAGTAACAATACTCGTAGTGGAAGGAATTGCTCTGGCCCCAAAGACGGACAAAATATTAGAATCAAGCACATTCCCCTAACCCAATGTGGCATTTGGGTTCAAACCAGCAATAGAGGTCATTTTGCTTCATCAAGTTACCCCAAAACATATCCAGCAAACAAGGACTGTATCTACATTTTGGAAGCTGCTCCACATCAAAGAATAAAGTTGATCTTTGATGAACATTATTATATAGAACCATTGTTTGAATATCAGTTTGATCACTTAGAAGTTCGAGATGGGCCATTTGGTTTCTCTCCTCTGGCATGAAAAGCTCTCCATTAATTAGATCGACAGGGAGATTCATGTAGATTACGTTTAGATCTGATGAACTGGAAGGACTGGGATTTCAAATAAAATATTCATTTATTCCTGATCCATACTTTACTTACTTAGGAGGTATTTAAAATCCCATCACAGATTGCCAGTTTGAGCTCTCAGGAGCTGATGGAATAGTGAAATCTAGTCAGGTAGAACAAAAAGAAAAAACGAAACCTGGCCAAGCAGTTGATTGCAATTAAACCTACTCTGAAACCTAAGATTTATTTATTTATTGAGATTTATTTGAGGTTCCTAGATTATCAAATGGAGCACTCCAACAAATGCAAGAGAAACTTTGTGGCAGTCTATGATGGAAGCAGTTCTACTGAATATCTGAAGGCCAAGTTTTACAGTACCACAGCCAATCGTGTAATGTTTAAAACAGGAGTTACAGTAGTGCAAATGTGGGTAGATAAAAGTAATTGGCTTAGCAGGTTTAAATAAAGAATGCCCTTTACTTCCTTTGTGGAGCCTCCCTGCATGGGCAGCACTTTCTTTTGCCATAGCAACACGTGCACCAGTATTTCTTTAGTCTGTAATGGTGTTCAAGAGTGTACATACCCTTGGGATGAAAATCATTGTAAAGAAAAGAAAAAACAAATGACTAAAACTCATGGAACAATTACTGGCATTACATCAGGGATTGTCTTGATCCTTATTATTTCTATTTTAGTACAAATGAAATAGCCTCAAAAAAAAGTCATGGCTTACAGAACTGCTTTTACTGAAACTGGGTTCCCAGAAGTGTTTAATCTTCCTCATTATGAACTGTTTTTCACTAAAGGACAAAGAAATTTCTGCAGACCTGGCAGACTTGTCAGAAGAACTGGACAACTATCAGAAGATGCGGCACTCCTCCACTGCCTCCCAGCACATTCACTACCGTCACTGTGGATCGCAGACATCCAGCGTCAAACCGGCAGTACCAACCTCAGCTCCATGGAACTTCCTTTCCGAAATGATTTTGCATCACCACAGCCAGTGAAAATATTTAATGACACCTTCAAAAAAAGAAGCTCCACTTTCAAACAGGCACGAGTGTCCTAAATAGGCACTATGTATTAGTTTGTTTCTGTTGCTTATAACATAAATACCTTGAAACTGGGTGATTTATAAAGAAAACAAAATTTACTGCTTACAGTTCCAGAGGCTGGGAAATCCACAGTGCAGGGAACACATCTGGTGAGGGTCTTGGTGTGGTGACAATGACCCAGGGGTCTCACATGGCAGAAAATGGTGGAGGAGAGAGAGAGAGATAGTTCCTCATTCACTCTCCTTTTAAAGCCCTCCAAACTACTCCCATGACCGCCATTTTTAATCCACTCACTATGGCATGTTCTTACAGTCTAATCACATCTTCAAGGCCCCACCTTTCAATTACCATAACAGGATTTCCCACCCTTAACAGTCACAGTGGGGATTAAGTTTTGGGAGGACATTCAGTCCAAGGCATACTAGAAGACAGGGTAATGGAGAAGACACCCTGTGAAATTATGTCGGAGGCAAAAAGATTCTGCACAAGCATCCATATCCATCAACTTTTAATATTTTACTAAACATGATGTGTATGCAGCCTACGGAGCGTGCACACTGTTTACAGCAGCCAACCCTTTCTCCTGTCAAAACCAGGAAAACCTTTACTTACCATTAAGTGACATTTTTATTATCTCAGGCAGTCTATATATGTTAAATAGACCAAGGAACTTACTAGATTCAGTGGAAAAATAATCATTTATTGCTTGGTGTTATAGAAAGTACCATGAGTTCAATAGCACTTGAAGAGGGAAGTTGTGTTGAGCCTGGCTAAAGCTCCCTGTTTTAGCAACAGAAATACTGCTCTTGACTGATATAGCTCTGTCAATATTTTGATCCCACAATAAATTTAAAAATAAGATTTTTCTTTAAATTCCTGTTTCTTCTTTCCTTTAAATTTAATTTGTTTTATCAGCCTATAGTCTTACCATTTCAGCTTCTCACGCAAATATGAGTGGTTAATGCAGCACATAGGTCAGTATAGGTGTTCTTAAATATGTCACAGTACAGCTACTTACTAAGCCCATTAACACCCAGAATTATGTTTCATCTATTTCTTCTTAATTAATTTCTATATTCTGCCTTTTAATTACTCGATCTTTAGTCCTTATTTTTGTAAGAAGTAGAAGATATGATTTATCACTTTTGAATCATATTTTGTCTTAGTCATGTTATACCAGAAAATTTCAAAATCCTGGGATGTATACACCATTGCCAGTTACAACTAAAAATTTAAAATAAAAACTGCTAGCAAGCCTTTGAAATTTCCCAAATGTGGTCACATTCAGTGCCAGCCCATTCATTCTAGTAAACAGAGTCTTTTAATTCTCCTTTGGGGAAGCCTGTACTAATGTTTTACAATATTTCTCATCACCAGGTCTGTGTTTCCTATTTTTTTTTTTTAAAAAGATTACTTAGCTCCCTTTGTATTGATTTATCTTCTAGCATATGGTAACCAGGGTTGCAGGAGAGTTAAAGGCAAATTCCTAAGAAACTTGGGGCAGTACATTTTTCTAGCACTTATTAAAAATAACAATTTCCACTTTTTTTTAAAAACTGTACTTCTGACTTTGTGGTTTTTTATATTATATAAGGCAGTTTATAACATGATATAAAAACTCATTGAGTTTTTTTGTTTTTACTTTTGATATTACTTGATACTGTACAAACTTTATTAAATCAATATTAGACCTACATGACAGATTTCTTTGAATGTTCACATTAGCAGTTTTGTACATAAACATGCTGTGATGGAACTGTACACTATAACTTATTGTAAAGACCTTGGTACTGTGTACATAAGCTTTTTCTTTCCTTCTGTTACTGTATTTAGTTTGTGTTAAATTTCTCACTCTGATATTTATTGCTCTAAATCACTATACACAAATCCTATATTAAAATGTTCACTGGTAATCTGATCCTTCAACCGTTATTTAGGCACTCAGATTTTGGATCTCAAGGTATGTATGGAAAAGAATCTGCTCATTGACTTATAAGTAATATAGACATGTCATTCAAAACAGATAAATTCTCGTTTTCTCTATTTTTTTAAGAGTAAATTCTCAATGAAATAAGAATAAAAAACTGGGGAAAAGTCTGAGAAACTTTTCTCAGAAAGTCAAGAAGACTTCTCTGGGAGTTCGTGAGGGTCAGAAAAGAAGATCCCTTCCAGCCCCTGGGAAAGTGTCTCATCATAGGAGCACTACTGGCATCAAGGGAGGGACAATCCTTCCTTGGGCAAGAAGGACTAAACTGGTCCCCGGGCACTCACCCATTAAAAGCCAG